GGGCTGGGGTGCAGCTCAGAGATAGAGGTCCCTTGGGTTCCAACCCCAGTACCAAAAATCATTGAAAAAAAGCAAGAGGAAGAGGAGCTGGCTGAGGCGGACAGTGCTACAGCAAAGGCTCTGTTTTGTTTAAAAAGCCAATCAGAGAACCATGAACATGTTTCTGGGCTGAGCAGAAAAACAGTGGCGTTCAAAGACCAGCCAGGGGAGGAAGGAGACAGGAACTAGCAGAGTTCAGACCCTGTCCTCACCACCTCTGAGGAAGCAGCACAGACCCAAAAAGAGGTCAAGGATGGGCATCAGGGCCTGAGGAAGGCGTCCCAAGGGCTGGGGACTTTTCGGGGAGCCTGCGAAGCACCTGCCTAAGACCCAGAGCAGTCTGCTAGTTACCCGGTCAGGTAGCCCAGGGCTGCTAGAATGCTGACTACGGCAACCATACTGCCTCTCCTGTGCCCTTTCCTCCCTTTACATAACTCAGGCCTCCTACCTCAGAACAGCACAGAAACTGTCCGGAGCGCACCCACTTCACCAGCTTCTGACTGTCTCCTGGCTGCGGCTAGGCGAGGTTCCAGCGTATCAAGGGTCGCACATCTCCAGGGCTGGGAAGGAGACCGGCTCGAAGGAGGAGCCCCAGCCTGCCGTGAGGTGTGCAGTCCAAGCTCCGCCCCTGCAGCAACCCAGGGGGCGACCCCCACCCCTGCACCAGCTGGAGCCCGCCCGACTGCCACCAGCTCCTTTTTCTCAGATCTGATCCCGCCAGGGGACTCAAGCAGGAATCAGCTTTTGTTTTTGTGTCTCCTATCTGAGGGGTGCAGCTGCCAGCCCCACGCACTAGCCCGAAACCTCCCTTCTGCAGCTGTAAAGTGCACAGAGATTTGCTGGAAAACCAGGTATCCCAAGGGAAAGGAAATGAGCAAGATGATGCCTCAACAATCAGGGCAGGGGCCGGGGATTTAGCTCAGTGGTTTTGCCACCTGCTGCACAAGTGCAAGGACCCGAGTTTGATCCCTGGTACCAAAAAAACAATCAGGGCACCCTGCTCCTAGGTACTCAGCTTCACTGTCTGCAAACATGCACACTTGTGACCACCACGTCCCCACCACATCCCAACACACACAGATCCCCAGGTCTCCGGAGCACACTTCGAGCCGGGACAAACAGCTGCTCACATGGGAGCCAGTGGCCTTCACTCAGTGTGAGGGCACAGGACAGTGACTGGATGCCTCGAGGCCCCTGCCCTGCACAGAGGACGTCCAGTGTCCGTGCCTCAGACTTCCTCAGGGGCGCAGGATGGGCATCCTGACCTTGCAAAGCACCCCAGCCCGGTGCATCAGTGTTCCCTCCGGTGCTGTCACGGAAGGAGCCCCAGGCAGGGACAGCGGTGCCCTCGGGTGGCCACAGCAGGCAGGTGAGGTCAGCCTAGGCTCCCTCAGGTGGCTGTCAGCTGGAACAGGCGGGGTTAAAGGAGGAGAAGCCTCACGTGGTAGCCACAGGGCAGATGGCTTCACCTCTGAACTGCAGCAGAGAAGCAGGGCGCAGGCCTCCGCCGATGGCCAGCGGCTACCCCTCAGCACCTATGTGAGTCAGCAGCTACACAATGGGCCAGGCGAGTGCTGGAGGCCACAGCGAACAGCGCCAGGCTGGGCCACAGGGACACACACCCTGAGGAGATCACCACCTGCTGCACTCCCCAGCGGCACTGTGGAAGCCGTGTCAGCACTGGGGAAACACTCACCCTGGATGAGCGGGCACACGCCTGTCCTGGGCTCAGTAGGCTGAGGCAGGAAGCACGCAGGATCTGGGTCAGCCTGGGCAACTAATAAAAAGGACTGTGGCTGTAGCTCAGTGGTAAGTGCTTGTGGAGTACGCACGAGGCCCTGGTTCAAGCCCCAGTAGCACCGAAAATAAAAAAGAATAAAATGAAGCCCATGCAGTAGTTCCGCCGTTCCCCACACTGGGCTGCTCAGACACCTGCCAGAAGCCCGGAGACACCTCCCTCGGGAACCCACAAGGACAATCCACTGACTGTGAGGTGCAAGGGAGCACACCACAAAGAACAGCCAGAGTCAGCACCGGAAAGCACCCAAATCCCTGCCCGGGCGACTGCACACGGTCCTGGTACACAGCCCTGGGAGGGAGGGCACAGGCCGTGTGGCCCCACTCTGAAAAATGACCCGCAATGAGAACCCAGGGACAGAAAGCAGGGAACGGGCACTGGGGCGCGAAGAATGGGGCACCTGCTCACGGGTCGCAGAGGACGGGGTGAGGCAAGTGATCTGAATATAAACAGGGGTGACGCACGCAACTCCGATGACACTGAAACCTCTGAACAGTGCACTTCAAAAAGCAGCCACATGCTGTGTTTTCTACCTCATGGAGTACACAGCACAGGACCACGACACAGGTCCTACTCAACTGTTCTGAAATCCTGGCCCTCCACTTCGTGGGACTGAGCACCACAGCACCACGCCGTCTACCACCAGCCTTGCAACTGTATTTTCCTTGCGGAAAAAAAAAAATACGGCTATAAAACACTCCCCGTTTCTAAACTTCCGGAAATATGCGGAATAAGGATTCGTAAATAAAAACGGGGTTTGGAAAAATGATTACAAATAAGCGGTCTTTCAGAAAACAGAATTTAAAAATAAAAAGTTAAGTAGGACAGACAATCTAAAAAGCAACCTACATCTTTATCTCTAAAAAAAAAAGTATGTAAGGTCAGAGTTCAAGACCGCAACCTCCAACGGTCCAAAGGACAGCCTTCTCCGGGTCACACCCAGGGCAGGCTCCAGGCTCAGGCCTTGACCTCAGGCTGCAGAGGCCCAGGAAGCACCAGATGGTGACTGAGGCAAGCTCAGTGGGGACAGGGGATCGAGCCCTGGCCACTCCCTACCATGGCCGCATCGCTGAGGGTGCGGTGAGACTCTGCGGCCGGCCGCACCTCAACAGGCCCAGGCAACAACTCAAACACCAGCGGAGAAAGCACGGGCCCCACAGCCTCGCACAACAGTCACCGCACACAATGCACCTCCATAAAAGTAAACTGAGAAAATCAGAGCAGCCCAGGAAGAGGGAGGGGCATTCGGGGACACCTGCCTGGCTTTTCACCTTCACAAAAGCATCCTCCCATGGCAGCAGGGAGATCCGGGAGGCGGGGCGCTGTGGCCAGGGTCTCTCAAGGGTGGATGCTGTGCCCAGGGCTTGCCTGGGTGGGAGGAGACTGAGGTCGGCAGCAGCACCCTATCCAGGGCTCTCCGCCCGACAGGAAGCCTCTCTGCTAAGACACTTGCGCTCTAGATTCCCCTCGCTGCCCTACCAACGTAACCGCCACCTGCATCAAGGGAGGCTCTGCACCCCAAGAGCATCCATCCCCTCAGTGACAGTGCACAGCAGGGGTGAGCAGGGCGCAGCACCGAGTCAGGAAGGTGACAGTGGCCAACACCGATTACCACCACCGAGGACACTTCCTGGGCCCTGTTTCTTCTGTTCATAGGGGAACAGCACACAACAGGGACTCCAGGATGGGAACTGACTTACAGAAAAAGCTATGGCCTCAGAGGGAAATCACCAAAAAGATAGAGCAGCGATAAAAACCAACCTACCTACCACGAGCACTTCTCAGAGATAGGCATCGTGAAGGAAAAAGCCACAGCCCGGGGTTCAAAGAGAGCCGGAAAACTTCTAAAGAGAAGAAACCCAACTCAACCACTAGGTATGTGTAACAGTTCCTCAGCCATCCAGAGGCAAAGCGGGGTCGGAGTCTTCACTTCAGAGAGCTCAGAGACAAGGCAAAGAGGAGCTTGGCAGACGCACCCCCCCCCCCGCCCTCCCACTTTCCAAAGAAATCCAAGTGTGACCTCCGAGCACAACCCCCGAGGTCAGAGGAGCCTTTTGTCTTGCGCAGAACCTGGCAGCTCCGGGGCTGTCTGCGCTGCGAGCCGTGATCACTGAGCGACACAGCCCTGAACCGTTCTGGACAAAGCCTGCACCTCGGGAGAGCTAGCGCGACGCCCTTGCCGCTCAAGTGTGCGGGCTGGCGGTGCCAGTTAACCTGCCGGCCTCCAGCCTCGCACCGCACCGGGGCCTGCTCTCCCAGGGAGCCGGTCGTCAGTAGTAACTGCTGCTTGGCCAGGTAAGAAAACTGCCAGACCCCTTCTGCTGTCACGATAGCCTGGCTCCTGAGACAATCGGACACACACAGTCGCAGCGTGCACACAGCGCTCTCGTATACACACGTACGCACACACGTACACGCGTCCGCACGCGCATCCTACTCCGAGTATGCACGCTCGCGCTTGCCAGCCTGCCGGCGACACCTGTGCGGCAGCGGTGGCCGCCGAGGCCGAGGCTCCAGCGCCTTCCCGCTCCACCTCGCCAGCTTTCGACACAGCCCAACACTCCTTCCGGGAGATAAACACCAGATTGGGAAAAACCAAGGCGACACAATGTTTCACTGTTATCTGTCACCCAAGAGCCCTACCATGGGGACAAAGGCCTTATCATCCTTCCAGCTGAGAACAGGATACACAAAGGGGCCCCGACCTCCGACCGCAGCCGCCCTCCCCCGAGCGGCCCAGGAAGGCGGCTCAGGGGTCCGGACGGGGCTTATGTGCAGGCTCTGGCGTGGGCCTCAAAGGGAAGTTTGAGGTAGGAGGTTGGGGGGCAGACTTGAGGTCCTGTGTGCGTATCTGGGGTGCAGTCGTGGGATGCAGCGTGGCTCAGGGCACAGATTTGGGTGTTACGGGTGTGAATCTGGGTGCGGTGGAGGCTTGGTGTGTATACATGGCCCCAGATGCAGACTAGGAAAGTTCTGGGTGCAGGTCAGCATGCAAACAAGGGAAGTGGCGCTGGCCTGGGGCACGGACTTGGGGGTTCCAGGTGCGGGCCTGGGGTGGAGGCTTGGGGTGCAGACACGGGGTGGGGGGTGGAGCGAGGGGTGTAGCCCCGGGCGCCATCCCTTCCCTCCTCCGCGCGGCTGGCACGCAAGCGCGCGCACCCACCTTGTGGCAGGCCGGGCAGGTGGGTCCAGGGGCGCCCTTGCCCCCGGGGCCCCCGCCGCCACCGCTCAGGCTGCTCTGGATCTGCGTGAGCTCCTGGCGCAGCACCTGCTTCTGGTGGAAGCTGAAGGCCGGGTGGTTGGAGGCCATGGTAAAGAGCAGCAGGAACTCATCGCCCGTGCGGCCCTCGTTGAGCTGCAGCCCGTAGTTATGGATGATGGAGTCGATGTGCGTGAGCGTGCGGTAGAGCACGCCCGCCGCCTCGCGCTGCTCGGAGCCCAGCAGCGCCAGCGACACCAGCAGCTTGCTGCGCACCACCTCGTCCGTCAGGTTGGTGAGGCTCCCCAGGTCAGCCGGGTTGTTGGCCTTGATCTCCGAGTCGCGCAGCGAGTGGTAGTCCTTGCGCGCCAGGTCCTCGAGGCACGAGCCGAGGAAGCGCAGCTCCAGCGGGATGCACAGGTCCAGCAGGCCGCACAGGAACTCCACGCGCTGCGGCGACGGCAGCTCCGAGAACCAGCGGTACACGCCGTCCCTCTGCAGCGGGCAGCGCTTCTCCACCATGCTGCCGCCCGCGCCGCGCCGCGCCCCGGGGCCGGGGGCCGCGCGGGGGCGGCCG